ATATATATAGGCTATCATTCATTCATTCATTTTCAGTAGCTGCTTATCCTCTTGGGGGTTGTGGATGTGCTGCCTATCCCACCTGACACTGGACAAGAGGCAGGGTACACCCTGGACAGGACGGCAGACCATCACAGGGCTGACACATAGTGACAACCATTCACGCTCACATTCACACCTTGTTCAACATGGCAAACCACCTAAATACTTGGAAGACTCGCGATTTGATATCTTTAGCAAGCGAGCTGCTGCTGGGAGCATCACACCTGAGAAACTCCCCCCGACAACAGGAGCTGCAGGACAACACTCTCTCTGGGCTTACCTCCAGACTAGGGACTGGCTCATGCTGCAAAGTCTATCGTTGGATGCCCTGGACTATGGATGGCAACTCACTGAGCAAGGATATGCACCGGTTCCTTCAATAGACCCCACTGCACCAGACTACCTCCTGTCAGCGGCAACTGTGCAGGCGACTGTAGCACAGTCAGGTGCTGCTGTTAAAAGCAAGGAGTCAGGTGTATCTCAGCTTGCGGCAACTGTCATGGCAACTTTTGCCAGAACATTAACCAGCCAAATGACAAGATGAGTGAGGGAGATGCTGCGGAGTTTGATAAATAAGGTTGACTAGAAAACTGATAAAACAATGTTTCCACTGAGTTCAGTTCTGTTTAATTATGTCAATAGAATACATTTTATGTGACTATCTATATTTATCTGACTCTTCTGCTGTCTGTCTTGGTCAACCATCTCCCACTCTGCCCTCCTCCCCCACTCCTCCCTCTCACACCTCAACACCCTCCTGCTTGACCCCCCCTCCTCCTCCTCCTCCTCCTCCTCACACCTCATCCCCCCGTGGTCAGACTGACTGCTCTCTCCATCATGAGGACTACACCCCTCCCCCACGTGTCATCACCTCCACAATGTGCTTCACGGCTGACCATGTGAGAAGACAGCTGATGAGACTCCACTCAAATAAGGCTGCAGGCCCTGATGGTGTCAGCCCCAGGGTGCTCAAAGCCTGTGCCCCCCAGCTATGTGGAGTACTTCAGCATGTCTTCAACATGAGCCTGAGTCTCCAGAGGGTCCCCTTGCTGTGGAAGACATCCTGCCTCGTTCCTGTGCCAAAGACATCACGTCCCAGTGGCTCCAAGGACTACAGACCTGTGGCATTGACCTCCCACATCATGAAGACCCTGGAGAGACTCGTCTTGGAGCAGCTCCGGCCCATGGTCAAGCCACTTTTGGACCCCCTCCAGTTCGCCTATCAGCCCCGACTTGGAGTTGAGGACGCCATCATCTACCTGCTCAACCGCGTCTACGCCCATTTGGATAAGCCGGCGAGTACTGTGAGGGTCATGTTTTTTGACTTCTCTAGTGCATTCAACACCATCCGTCCAGCTCTACTGGGTGACAAGCTGACAGCAATGCAGGTGGATGCCCCCCTGGTGTCCTGGATTGTAGACTACTTGACTGGCAGACCACAGTATGTGCGCTTGCAACGCTGTGTGTCAGCAATACCGGAGCCCCGCAGGGGACTGTCCTCTCTCCCTTCCTCTTCACCCTCTACACCACGGACTTCAGCTATTGCACTGAGACCTGCCATCTTCAGAAGTTTTCTGATGACTCTGCTATAGTTGGATGTATCACCAAGGGTGATGAGGATGAGTACAGGGCTGTTGTGGATAACTTTGTCACATGGTGTGAGCAGAACCATCTGCAGCTCAACGTGGCAAAGACAAAGGAACTGGCTGTGGACCTGAGGAGGACCAAGACATCGGTGACCCCTGTTTCCATCCAAGGGGTCAGTGTGGACATTGTAGAGGACTATAAGTACCTGGGGGTACACATTGACAGTAAACTGGACTGGGCTAAGAACACTAACGCTCTCTATAGGAAGGGCCAGAGCCGTCTCTATTTTCTGAGGCGACTGAGGTCCTTCAACATCTGCCGGACTATGCTGAGGATTTTCTATGAGTCTGTGGTGGCCAGTGCTATCCTCTATGCTGTTGTGTGCTGGGGCAGCAGGCTGAGGGTGGCGGATGCCAACAGACTTAACAAACTGATCCGCAAGGCCAGTGACGTTGTGGGAACGGAGTGTGACTCTCTGATGGTGGTGTCAGAGAGGAGGATGCTGTCTAAGCTGCGAACTGTCTTGGACAATGTCTCACACCCACTCCACCATGTGCTGGTCAGGCACAAGAGTACTTTCAGTGGGAGACTCATACCACCAAGATGTACCACTGAGCGCCACAGGAAATCATTCCTGCCTGTGGCCATCAAACTGTACAACTCCTCCCTCTGAGTGGCCCTGAGACTTTCACACACTGCAATAACTTAATTTAACTTGTGCAATAACCCCGTTCACCCTGACTGTATATATTCTGTTTGTGTAAATTTTGTTTACAATATATATATATATATATATATATATATATATATACATATATAATTTACGTTTATGTTTGTTAATAATTCCTGTTTATTTAACTATATATTTGTTAATACTAATGTTTAAATTTCTTATATTTTCATGTATCTTTCCTGTCTTGCAAGGAGCACCTGTAACATAAATAATTTCCCCTCGGGGATCAATAAAGTATTTCTGATTCTGATTCTGATGTGATCAGGGAGTGATTTTTTCTGATAAATAATGGCTGGTATCAATTCAGCACCCCAAAAAAACCCTAGATAGACATCTCACAAGCTATTACTGGCAAAAGTTTATTTTCCCATTTTTTTGCCCAGGTCCTCTGAGCACCCTGATTTTGATTGGCTCCCCAGAATTTTCCACAAGGATTTGGGTTTGCATAAATTGATAGATGTTAGTAGACACCTAGATGAACATATTAGTGAAGAAAGCAAGTGGTAAGCAATTTTGTCACAGATGGTCTATGCAATTTGCTAAAATTCCCTAACTATCTTCTTCTTCTCACTGGATTTATATTTGGCGCCTCTGCTCTTTGTATGTTACACGAGTTCCCAGGATGCTTTGTGTTCACCGCGGGATACGCCATTGATGACGAGACATCCGCAATAAATGTTCTAATTTATATATATTCTCTCAGCAACTGCATTACTGCTTCTCTGTTGGTATAACACACCACTACTGGACTGCATATGACAAGAATACCAACTGAAAATGAGAAACATTTTAACTCTGAAAATCATTTTCATTTCTGTACAACGTCCGCTTGAATACGCGGGATATAGTTGCCCTGTGTATATTCTGTCAGGCAGCGCTGGTATGGAACTTAAAAAGTACAATATTGTGCTCCTTCTAGGTTATGTTTTAAACGTAGACTATATAAGCTTCATTTATACATTTATAAAACGAGCCATATTTGATAATAATGTGTGTCAATCCTGCAGCAGGAGGCGGAAGTTGCCTAGCAGGCAGAACTCCGGGTGAAAATTCAAGACTTCAAGTACTTCATTGCACTCGGCGCGGTCTGTGTCAGTATGGTGCCACAGTACTATAGCAACCGTGAAGTGGATTCACCAACAAGAAAGGGGCCTGGACAGAGTTTGTGAATGGTTCGTCACTTGTATTTGATATTTTCTGCTTTTCCAAAGTCTTGTCCCAGACGTGTTAACCCATTTTACCGACAGCAGAGAGGAAGTGTTTCAAGTAGGGAAGCTTATGTAGCAGTGACCCGAGAGTGAGAAGCCGGTTAAACATGATGCTTCAATATGTTTGTATGGTGAGAGTATCTATCAAGAAGCTAACAGCTAACTTAACTGTGCCGCTCCCTGTGTGATGAGACAGATGCAGCGCTGTGGAGTCTTAGCTAAGTTAGCTTATGTTAAGATACAATAAGTAGTTTGGGTTGGCTAACGCTATCTGAAATTTATGTACTTAGTCACTACAGTTACGTTAGTTAATGATGGGTAACGTTATATAGCTGTAGCCTGAAATAGTTACTTAGTTTGTCCTGGTTACACTGCTCCATTAGAGGTGAACTGGCAGTGGTTGGAAATTAGATTATGAATGCTCCGCTTGATAATAACTTTAATAATTTAGCTAACTAAAATGTATTAATACTGACACGTTTTTATATAAAAAATCAAATTATTACACTTAAAACACTGAACTAAAAGAATAAGTCGGGTATTCACTCACATAAACAATCAAGAACTAAATTATACAGCACCATTAACTAGTGTGCAGTCAGATAACTGTAGTAGAGGCAGGAGTAACCTAAGTTTGTTCCTCATTTGAAAAAAATGGGGCCCAGTCAGATTCACAGTACGGCAAAACTGACTTTCATGTCTTTCTGTTTTACAGGAAATCATATTTACATCTCTTACAGTCTGAAGGTTGGCTCCTCTCTGAGCAGATCAGTCTGACAAACATGGATGGTGATGGTGGAAGCAATGGTAAGTCAGTTCTTTCCAAGCCAAGAAACAAACTGTGCAGATATGTTGTCACCTAACTACTTTGAATTAGTTTTATTTGTGTGAAAAATGAGCCAAACCTTATTAGAGACCAAACAAGGCAAGAGCCAATATGTAAACATACAGAAAGTCCTCTGTGATAATCCTGTTGTTTTTCTGTGAGAGGAGGTTGATTTCATGGGGACTGATGACAGATCACACCCTGCCTCAGCTCTAATGGGACTCTGAGGGGAGGTACAAAGAAATGGAATGACATCATTAACTGTGGAAGTGTGATCCCCAGAGGTCTTAAACCTGTGCAGGTGCAAGACCTGACAGTCTCCTCCCTGTTCATACTCTTAGGATAACTCCACTGAGAAAACCTGCTGCACATGTTACTCTATAATCATGCAGTCTATCCCTGCCTGCCTGTTACTAATTTGATACAAGTGCTAAGTGGACTATAGTTTACTGGATTCATTGATCTAAATCATGTATTATAACTTTGAGTAACATTTATTTTACATATTCAGAAGTGAAGAACATTTTCTTTCTTATCTTTTTTTCCCAATAAAACAGTGAAATAGAAGTAAAATGGGTTTGCAACTATCTTAGTGCAGCCATCCTATCTCCATTCACATGTCAGTGTATCTGCTCAGAATCAGTGTCCCTAACAGTGTTCCTGGTGTGTCTGTTACTTCTCAGATGTGCAGGCAGAGCTGGACTCAGTGGAGGCAGAGCTGGAGTTAGTGGAGCTGCAGATCACAGAGCTCCTACAGAAGCAGGCCGAGCTGACTACTCGTAAAAATGCACTCCTGCAGCAGCTGGAGGAGGCCTGTGATGCTGCCCAGCCGTCATCCTCTTCATCCTCATCTTCCTCAAAGTCATCTGGAGCTGATTCAGTAATGAGCAAGAAGGAGATGCAGCTCTATGATGGCACAGGTACTCTACACTCAGGGCTGTACGTTTTCTTTTTTTGCACAGCACTGGTGCTACTTGGGTTGAAAATTTTGTAGCAGAGCCTCAAAACTCAGTCCCTCTAATATTTCATGATGTTGTAAGTGAAAATATTAAGGGAAGCTCAGCAAATCCCTGTGAATTCTGTGCGACCCTGCATTGTTGTCTAGTCACCACAGCTTTCCTGCAAATTTAACTTTTTAAAATGTGTAAAATCTCTTTTTATTTTAGAGCTGCGTGCAGCTCATTGATTCACTCAGCCTCTGTGTCTCTCTTTTTATCAAGAGACTGCTGCCAGATCAGAGCTCTGCGCCTGGGACAGTCTCACACACACACACACACACACAGCAACAGGGCTAATTGTTAGCATCACAAAGCTAACGTTACTCAATGTTTATTAACAGGTTGAATAACAGAGTCGAGCCCTTCCAATGTCGGCTTCTGCTGGCAATGTTGCCAGCAAAACATGACGAGTAGTGGTGAGATCTCTTTGTGCTGTGTTAGCTCATGCTAACTGGGAGAGTGGCTCATGGAGACAGTCCTACAGGACTACATGAAATGGCAAAAAAAAATCGCCTTCAAACATTGCAACATTCATTGCAGATTTTTAGAAAAGCTGCTGTAAAAACAGCCATTTCAGGCTACAACAATCCCAGAAACAGCCCGTGAAATCCTGGAGGGAGTGAAAACTGTAGCACAAGTACAAAAGTATCAGTTAAGTCCTCTGTAGTCAGAGACTATTCAGTATCTGAATTGGAGCATACAAAGATACAGTTTAAAAGTCATTTTCCATGAGCTTTTAAATGAATGTAGTACTTCAATGTATTAATGATATGTTATGCCCATGTTATGAGCGTAACATGGGCATCTGAAGTAGGGGTTCTGTGGGGACTGCAGCACCTCCTAAAACCAAGTGTTATGACAACCATACTTTTGATAAATGAATAAATAAATAAATAAATAAAACTTTGTGTTAAAACTTTTTGTTTTCCCCTTCTTACTGGGAGATGAGCTATATGTGTTGTAAGCAATATTTCTTATTTTTTATAAGTTCAGTGAGAAACTGTATTGTGTAATTTATCTGACAGGCCTGAAAAAATTCAAATGTAATTTGTAACAAAATACTTTAGAGTGAAGTCTGTGTTTTTCCAAACACTCCAAACAATTTCCCCATGCTTTATTGATTTGGAAGATTTTCCATGGTCCAAAGAAGTGGAGCGTCACCTGAAGGACACATTCCATCTCTCCACGTTCAGACCACTGCAGCTGAGGGCCATCAACCTGACCATGTCAGGAAAAGATCTGTACTTGGTGATGCCTACAGGAAGAGGAAAAAGCCTCTGCTACCAGCTGCCTGCAGTCTGCTCCAATGGTACACTGACACACAAATATACAGTGTTGATGCTTACATACCACTTTTGTAGTTTCTAAGATAATTCTGTTCATCTTATGAGTACATACATGCTTACTGTCTCAGTCTTTCCCACTGTAATCTCATTACCTGAGTGTGTTTTATGTCAGGTTTTACACTGGTTGTCAGTCCCCTGGTGTCCCTGATTGAGGACCAGATCATGTGCTTGACGTCCATCAATGTGTCAGCAGTCATGCTGAATGCATCCAGTAGCAAGGTAATGACTGGCAGCCATATTCTGCTTATTTATTTCACTTCAACCTTTCAGTCTGTCAGTCTGCTCTTCGGCTACTCTTTGACAACCATGCGTGAACCTCAGATTCCACAGAACCGCTGATAAAACTGTTGACATGATCATGTCTCTTTGACTCAGCGTAACATTGCTAACACTCTCTCCAACTTTGCCCTGATTCAATCCTGTGAGCTGCATGATGTAGTGCAGCAGCTCAGTTCTTCAATATGTGCTCTTGACATGATGCCAACTAAAATGTTCAAAAATGTTTTTAGTTGTATGGTGGAGGATGTTCTTGACATTGTTAATGTCTCCCTACTTTCTGGAACTTTCCCTCATGTCTCAAACATGCTGTTGTGAAACCACTGTTAAAGAAAAATAGTCTTGATCCACTGGTTTTTGACAACTACAGACCATAAAGTCTCTGTTCTGGTACTTCTTGATCTAAGCGCAGCGTTCGATACTATGGATCATGAAATTCTTATTCAACATCTTGAACACTGTTTAAGCCTTAAAGGTACAGCTCTGAACTGGCTTTCTTCTTACCTCAGTGGAAGATCTTTCTCTGTGTCCATCAGTAATTTTGATTCAGATAAGATAAGCATTCCACATGGTGTCCCTCAAGGATCGATTTTAGGTCCTCTTTTATTATACATGCTTCCTCTTGGGTCCATTATTCAGCAATATAACGTCTCATATCAGTCATATGTTGATGATATACAGCTATACATATTGGTTTCTGCCAATGAATATGACCCTCTCAACTATCTCATCCAGTGCATCTCAGATATCAGTTCCTGGATGAGCAAAAGCTTAATCAGGACAAGACGGAGAGTCTTGTTGTTGGCCCTAGGGCCCTGAGGCACGAAATTCAATCCCTGCTTACTCCCTTATCTGTTCAACCATGTGATCATGTCAAAAACTTGGTGTGGTTCTTGATGCTGACCTCAACTTTCACAAGCACATCTCTAATATATCTAAGACAGCATTTTATCACTTGAGAAATATTGCAAAAGTTAGATGTTTTTTTATCCCAATCAGATTCTGAGAAGCTGGTTCATGCTTTTATTTCTAGTGGACTAGACTACTGCAATGCCCTCTTTGCTGGACTGCCAAAACAAACTCCAGCTTATTAAGAATGCAGCTGCTAGGGTACTAACAAAAATCAAAAGGTCTGACCATATTACCCCGATTTTATCATCACTACACTGGCTCCCAGTAAAACAAATAATTGATTTTAAAGTTCTTCTTATTGTTTATAAATGTTTTAATCGGTTAGCTCCTTCCTACGTTTCTGACATGCTCACTGAGTATGTACCAGAGAGATCCCTTAGATCATCAAACAAAGGTCTCCTCACAATACCTAGAATCAACTCCAATTCAGGTTTTGGTGCTTTCAGTCATTATGGTCCCACTCTCTGGAATTCGTTACCAATTGAACTACGTTCTGCTACTTCAGTGTCTTCTTTTAAAAGCAAACTTAAAACATATCTATTCTCAAAAGCTTTTAGTTAGGTTTACTGAATTAGTATTATTATTGTTATTATCTCCTGTTTTTAACCGTGATGAGAAAGATATCCTCTTACCTTGTTTAACTAACACCTTTGATTACATCGTGTGTGTTTTTATAAATGTTAGTCACTCTTATCATGATGTTTATGTTTTGTCGTGTACAATGTACCTTTGTTTCTGTTTTTAAGCACATTGAGTCTGCCCTTGCATGAAATGTGCTATATAAATAAACTTGACTTGACTTGACTTGTAGATGACATAGATTAATGAGGACACTGTTTCGGGGAAGATGTTGCTGTTGATTTTTTTAAAATATATTTTTTCACAGGTGTGAGCTTTAGAAACTTTATTTCATTTTCCTCTGTAGTATTGGGGTGGAGGTAGACATCTCAGGGTGAGATATCTCAAACTTGTAAAACCAAAACTATCTGGCCAGATATAACAAAAAGTAAGTGAGAGGTTTTGTTAATTTGGTGAATTGACCGTTTTAAAAATCTGTTATTGTCATTCAGAAAGGGAAACCAGAAGACCGTCCTGATGTTAGTTAGCATGTTAGCACATTCACAACAAAATCCAATGAGAACAAACCATATTTACTCTGCAGGAGTGAGCAACTACACAAACCATCCTAAAATGTTTCTGCTTAAGAGCTCCATGCTAAAGAAAATTAATCTTACCTTATGTTACAAGTTTGTTTAAGTCTTACTCCCTCTTGACTTCAGCGGTTTGTTTACTTTCCTCACTTCAGTTTGTTGTCTCGTGTGCTGAGCTGAACTGCTGATCGGAGTGATTTCATTCACCGACGGGCTCCACTGTCGCTGTCGCTGATTCAACATGCTGAATCGTCAAAAAGAAAAGCAGACACTGGGCAGCAGTGCGGGACACATCACACTGACTACAGTGACAGACACTCACTGACGGTCCAACATTGACCCATGGCTGACTGTCGGCTTGGTGTGTCAGGGCCTTTACATCTATTCCCAGTCCCTCCAGGATCTCGCAGCAAACCTTGACCTTGAATTTGCGGCCCAAAAACCTTGAATTTGCGGCCAATTTTGTCAAAAATTGCGATTAAAAATTGTGGCATTTTTATGTGTTTTTTTTTTTTGTGGGAAATTGCAAATACTACAAAAATAGCTGCAAATGTTTTTTTATAGTTCTCTTCTTTAGTTTTATTTAATTATTTTCAAAACATGGACTCCAATAATGTTGCAAAAAATCCTGAGTGAATATTGTAGCTCTCAAACCACACAATGTGAATGTTAAACAACATGTAAGCTACATCTTCTGTAAACATAACATTTTAATACATTCAACACATAAAGTATGCATTTAAACAGTGCAAATTCTTATGTCAATACAGAGCGTTTCTCCATACTGCAGTGCCATTTGATGACACGTCTGACGTTTCAAATGACTTTGACTGTAAGCATGACGACTTCTGGTCAGCCATAAAATGTGAAACAACGTGGAAAATTTGCGGAACTTTTGAAAAATTGCAAGCCCCTGCAAATATTGCCGACTTGCGTTGAATTTGCATTAATTATTGCAATCGCAAGATCGCAAATTTTCTGGAGGGACTGTATTTCCCACATGAAATACAGAAATACAACTTCACACAGTTCATCCAAACTCAACAGAAACAAAATAAACAAAACCGTTTAAGTTAGTGTTCTTAGTCATCTAGTTAGTTACCTCAATCAATACAGCCTTTTACTATGAGTTAATAATTAAGAGGAGCATCTGTATTTTTGACGGAAATGGAAATAATGCCATCGGGATTTCTAAATACTCTGCTCCAGGCTTGGGTAGTATCATGGTATACCAGAGTTTTTGTGTTTAAAATGTCAGCTTTCACAGTGTAAAAAAATTAAAAAGCAATGTTTATACATTTTTTAGGAGCACGCCAAGACCGTCATGAATGGATTGACTGATCCAAAGGCCCCCTTTAAGCTGGTGTACGTGACTCCAGAGAAGATCGCCAAGAGCAAGCTGCTCATGTCTCGTCTGGAGAAAGCCTACAACGCAAACCGTCTGAGTCGCATCGCTGTGGACGAGGTGCATTGCTGCAGCCAGTGGGGACATGACTTCAGACCAGGTGAGCTTCACTAGGATGGAGGGGTGGAAGTATGGTGCTTCTAAAGCCTGGTTTGGGCTTTTCATAGAAAGATGACCAATCCGAAAGATTTGGGCGATACCTTTGTTCGTGGCTCTAAAATGGTGGTCCTGTGTTGCCCAGTGAGAGAGGTTCAAGGATGGCCATTGACATGGTCTTGCAATCAAAGACAGCCTGGGATAAAATCATGTCAGAAATTTGGGATGACCATCTCACAGTGTGACTGCTGTTATGACCTATGCCTACCAACCAACCAATAGAAATCCAGCATGAAAGGACGCACTGATCGGCGCAACAATGCTAATGCATTGGGCTCGACTTTGTTTTCATTTGTCTCTTACCACCACAGTGACATAGATGGATGACGCACGCTGATGGTATTTCGTTCTTGCGTATTGACGCTGATGGACGTATGCTGTAGCCTAGGATTCAGTATAGACCCAAGTTTTTTTAGATCCATGTCGCACCGTTTAAACTTAGATGATGCTAAAATCCCACAGTCTCTAGGAGGCTTGAGGCAACCTTACCCCCTTCTGATCAAAATTCTAGGTTTATCTTCTAATTATGTGTTTGTATGTATGACCCTGTGCAGATTATAAACTGCTTGGCATCCTGAAGAGGCAGTTCCCCAAAGTCCCGCTGCTTGGCCTCACAGCCACCGCCACCAGCAGCGTCCTCAAGGACTGTGAGAAGATCCTGTGTGTGCAAAAGCCAATCACACTCTCTGCGTCCTTCAACCGAACTAACCTCTACTACGAGGTGGTAACCACAGCAACTCCATCTCTCAGCCACCTGCTTCCTACACAAACACACACACTGAATGTCTCTTCATCAAGCACAGGCACACATGCGCTGCACAATCCTGCTTACACACCTGTCAGACCAGTTAAAATCCACAAATTATAATACACAAATGACCATTTTGTGTTTTTGCATGTTCAGCCTGTTACAAAAAACATACTGTCATCTCTACGTACTACCTCACACCTGTTGAACAAATTTAACAACTCAGTTTCACACCTCTATGGGAAATGTTCCAGTAACACTGAATTCTGCTCTTTTTTCAGGTTCGTGTTAAAGATTCTAACTATGATGTATCAGTAAGTGACATTGCCTCTCTGATCAAGAACAGATACAAGGACCAGTCAGGTACTGCAGCACACAAGACTGATGAGACTCAGAAAAAGCAAATATAATGCATCACACTGAGGCTAATATGCTCAGGTTTAGGACTGAATAGATTATTTAAGGTGTATAAATTCACATACAGAGCAGTCTTGTTCAGCAGTCATTTTTCCTGGTGTGTGTGCCACAGGGATCGTGTATGTGTTCTCTCAGAAGGATGCAGAGTCAGTGTCATCTGAACTCCAGAAGAGAGACATCCTTGCCTATCCCTACCACGCTAACATGGATCCTAATGATAAGTCTCGTGTTCACCGCAAATGGACCAACAACAAAATCCAGGTATGTGGGTGTGACACGTACTGGTATTATTCTTTCACAGGAGGGACTCCAGAATATTGGGCCAAGATTTGCTTTAATTCTTTGATTATGGTGACTGGAGGTCTTTCACGCAGCATATTCTTATCCCAGGGCTTACTTAGCCCCTTTTCACACACACAGTCAGTACCATTCACAGTTAAAGCTCAACAAGGCCATTTAATTAGACTCCTGTCCTTGTCCCAGTATACAAGCACAGGAGTGGAATCAATTTATTGACCGAAGTATGTCCAACTCCACTACCATGGGTGGCCATACGCCCCCTTTCAGCTGGTTAGTATTCGGTTGACGTATTATGTCGCAGACCAAACAATCAACAAACAAGTTAGCTACTGACAAACTGGTACCTTGGTAGACAACTTTACAGCTCTGTACATTTTATTTTTTAAAAGTCCAATATTAGTCAGGCTAACACAATAAATCGATTTTCTCTAATGTCATGCAAACATACTGATTGTTAACCCAGGGTAAAATAAGCCCAGGGCAATACAATTCACTAACCCACTAACCCTTAAATGTCTGTTGGAACACATGATGGATGTTTACATTCTAGAACGACACAGGACTACTTTTTGAAAGCAAATAGCAACATCAAAATGTCGGCTTTAGCAGGGCTTTATGTGAGTTAAGTTTAAGTTGGACTTTCGTTGGCTTTGACTTTTACTTTACTGAGCTGACATGAGCTGGCACCATTGTTGTGGTCCAGCCTACACACTCACGTAAATACAAACAGACTGATGAGTTGATCCTCTCTTCCCCCCATCAAAAAGTGCCATTGGACTGGCTAGTTAGCTAGCTAGGTTCATACTCATAACTCACTCATTGAGAGGCTTTAGCATTTATAGAGCTGGCCTCGCCTCTCTGATCCAGCCAAAAAACAAAACAAAACAAAGGATGATGAGGGCAATACGTACGACTGCCCTTTTATAAAAGATACACACTTACTGCTTATATTTGAATATGTTACGGTACGTGACTGTGTTGTTCTATAGGTGGTGGTTGCCACAGTGGCATTTGGCATGGGCATCGACAAGCCTGACGTCCGGTTTGTCATCCACCACACCATCAGCAAGTCCATCGAGAACTACTACCAAGAGAGTGGACGCGCAGGTAGACACTGTTTGTCTTCTGTCAGGACACAATACTAGTTTATACTGCTCTAGTGTTTTTGCAGATACATCTCGTTAAATTCCTGATGTCTGTGTATCTTCAGGACGAGACGACCGCCAAGCAGACTGTGTCGTCTACTTTGGTTTCTCTGATATCTTCCGGATCAGCACCATGGTGGTGATGGAGAACGTCGGTCAGCAGAAGCTGCTGCAGATGGTTGACTACTGCCAAAACATTGACAGGTAACACACACACACATACACGCACAGTTTGTTCTTCATGTACCATGACTCGAAGGTCTGTTGAATGTCATGTTTGCTGTGTGAAGGTGTCGACGCTCTCTCATGGCTGTTCATTTTGATGAGGTGTGGGACGATGAAGGATGCAACCAGATGTGTGATACTTGCCGCCATGCAAAAGGTGCGTGTGTCTGTGTCAATAAACATCATGGTTGCATGTGTTCTTCAAGGTTGTGAAAAGCCATCTTCTCTAAATTTGAGTGAATAATAGTCCGATCTCTATCCCTGCAGACTCCACCACCGTGGACATTACCGAGCATGCCAAGCAGGTGGTGCAGATCCTGGAGTTAGCAGGGTCAATGGATGAGAAGCTGACTCCTCTGAAGCTGGTTGAGGCCTGGATGGGGAAAGGCCCAGCCAAGCGCAGGAAGATGATCCAGACCACTACACTGTCTCGACTGCAGGCAGAAGCTGTGATAATTCAGCTGCTGCTGAAGGGGTACCTCAGGTGACTCATCATGTTCTGTGGTTTGTATTTAAAATACAAGTACAAGCATGGTCCAAAACACACTGACTTTTTTGTTCTTTATTTTGTCTTTATTATGACAAATAGGCTTATTAGCCTTTGAAGCATATGGAGGCTGGTAGTTTGGGGTTGGTATGATGCAGTTTGCCTAGAGAGCATTCCTCTTGAAAGTTTGTGTAATAAATTATGGAAGACTCTGGACTTTCAGAACCGATTTAGATCTGGCCCTACCCTTAAGGTCTTTGCAATACAAAAACATCTGTTACTATCAGACAATAATTAACAGTTAATTGAGCTACTCCCACTAGATATATATTGTAATTAAATCAATAATAAGATGTTGATAAGAACACGCTTTGGACAGTTTAGACTCTGACATAGATTCTGTCTGTTGACTTCAGAGAGGATTTCAGCTTCACTCCATACACCACCTACTTTTACATGAAGCTTGGCCGCAAAGCTCCTCTGCTGAAGAACCAGACTCACACACTCAGTATGAAGATGAGGACAACAGGGGCTGGATCTGCTGTGGTGAGTAAATGCTGCCCACAGTGATATATCACAAAGCAGTCAAACAGAAGTTCACTGGATCTAGTATATTGGATCATACGCATGTAATCAAGCTGATGTTCGCTCGTTTGCATCGTTCCCAGTTAGGAAGAGGTGTAACACCATCTGAAAACAATTTTATTCACAGTATGTATTTAAGTCTAGAAAATCAATGTAGGGTTGGGGCCTGATAGCCGCCTCCAATTTGGATTAGGGTCCATATTTATGAAGCATATTTAGAAATTAGAATCAAGTGTGAATGTAGGACCCACCCTAAACAATTCAGCTATGCATGTTGGCCACCATACACTGTAAAAACAGTTTATCTGTGACAAGCAAACAATGGGTACAAATGTTGTACATTACAGTATGTGTTTTCTTCTCTCTTTAGTGCTCCACTGAATATTATTTTCCTTTATCTCCTGTTTGTGTAATAATGTGATTTTTCTTTCAATCTTCTGTGTTATCTTTGTGAAGTCTCTAACCAGTTTCCTCTTCTTCTATTGTGTCTTTCCTCCATGTCACCTTAAATGTTGTCAGATATTTTCTAATTGTTTCTAATAATCCATCGAGGTAAGTCAAAATTGAATTGAAGCTAAATATTGTGATGTTTATGCTGCACACTTATAGACACATACAAAAGACTTATGTCCACATAGTGATTAGAGGATTTTTGTGTTTTTATTGTCAAGATTTCACAGGAAAATAACCTTCGCACCATGACCACGACTGATAATGATCATTAGTACTCTAACATGATTAATCATAGATTAAATAGTTGTAGTTGATGTAGATTCCACTGCTGCTCTTAATTTTGCCACTATGATTTGCACAGCTGATCGAAAGGTACGAGGCCAAACAACTATTACTGGCATAGACCACTACTTAAACCAAACCAGTGGCCTGCAAAACAAAATGCTAGCATTGTACATTTCTGCAAACCACAGATACGTTACATTTGCACGTTATTATTTAGTGTAATGCTGTGGTTAAATAATGTTTTAGCTCAAAATGCTTGGTTTGGAGGGCACAATCCCGGCTAGAAACAGAGCAATACCTCAGTAAAAACAATTGCTTTTCGTGCCACCACCCTGGCAGGAAAAGCAGCGATGTCTTAAGCCCCTTTTCCACTACACAAAAAAAAACTGCTAACACCTGCTTACATTTGGCTCTTTAATGCAGTGAGAAGGGTTTAAATCAGCCGTCACACCTGGGTCAAACGACTCTTCAGTAGTCATGGGTATTACCGCCTCCACCTCTGATTGTCATTAATGAAAACACAACATCCGGGTGAATGTGCTAATCTATACCGTCAAGATACAATGACACGCCACCCACAAAATACCATCCGTTTCTGCACAAGCAGTGCTCAAACATTGATTCAAATTAGTCTGAACCAAGTTTGAAAGAGAGACTGAATAAGTAAGACAGATATAAAAAGAAGTACATGGTAAATGGACTGCACTTGTGTAGCACTTTTCTAGTCATCCGACCACTCAAATCACTTTTTACACTATGTCACATTCACCCATTCACACACACACACATACACACACACACACATTCACACTCTGGTGGCCAAGACTTTCGTACATGGTGCCACCTGCTACTTAGTAACCATTCACATTCTACTTTGGAACAACCATCGGGAGCAATTTGGGGTTCAGTATCTTGCCCGAGGATACTTCAAACCGAAGGAGCAGAGTGCCGCCGATCGACCAATTAGGAGATGACCTACTCCACCTCCTGACCCACAGCCACCCCATCAAGTAGCCACCATAAAGTTTCCATACTCCTCTCTACTTTTTACCTGTTCTCCGGCCTGTCTGTGATGTTGAATGTGTCACACCAAAAAAAAACACCCATACACAGAAAGGCATACTCATGTGCTGCAGAGCCACTCTTGGAAATACCAAATCACTTTTTTCACTACTCAACAAGATCCTCCAGCCTCCCCACTCCTTACCCCCCCACCTTTACTCTACTGACACCTGTAACTCCTTGATGCTATTCTTTAATGATAAAATCAACTCCATTCATCAGCACCTCTGTTCACACCCTCCTCCTCTCTCCACACCCGAATCCTTCCTCTACAGTCAGCCTTTTTCCTCCTTTCAACTCCCAAATGCCTCTGAAATATCCGACCTCATCCGCAAATCTAAGCCCTCCACATGCCTGCTGGACCCTATCCCCACAACCTTGGTCAAATCCTGCCTCTCCTCTCTGCTTCCCCTCATTTCTGCCATTATCCACTCTTCACTGTCCACCGGTATTGTCCCTTCAGCTTTCAAAACTGCTGCTGTCACCCCAATCCTGAAAAGACCTGGTTCAGATCCCAACGACTTCAATAATCTCCGCCCTATCTCCAACTTACCTTTCATCTTCAAAATTCTTGAAAAAATAGTCTCCTCCCAACTTCACGCACATCTCACTCTAAACAGTCTGTATGAACCCTTCCAGTCTGGTTTCCGTCCACGTCACAGCACTGAAACTGCACTTATCAAAATCACCAATGATCTTCTCACTGCAGCTGACACCGGTTCACTCTCCATTCTCATCCTCCTCGACCTGAGTGCGGCCTTTGACACCATCTCACACTCCATCCTCCTCAGCAGACTCTCCTCAATTGGCATCACCCGCACCCCCCTTCACTGGTTCCATTCTTATCTCACAGACCGCACTCAGTTCATACAGCTTAAATCTTTCTCCTCTGACCCTTCCCCAGTCACCACAGGTGTGCCCCAGGGCTCTGTCCTGGGGCCCCTCCTCTTCATAACCTACCTCCTCCCCCTCGGCCATATCTTCCGCAAATTTAACATTAATTTCCACTGCTTCGCGGATGACACCCAGCTCTACCTCTCTTGCAAACCTAACTCCACACTCCCACCCCCCTCCCTCACATCCTGTCTTTCTGAAATAAAATCATGGTTCACCTCTAACTTTCTAAAATTAAACAGCAATAAAACTGAATTCCTACTCATTGGCACCAAATCCACCCTATCTAAAGCTGACACCTTCTCTCTCTCCATCGACAGCTCCTTAGTCTCCCCCTCCCCTCAGATTAAGAGTCTGGGTGTCATCCTCGACAGTACACTATCCTTTCAATCTCACATTAATAGAATCACCCGGTCTGCTTATTTCCACCTGCGCTCCATCAATCGTCTCCGCCCCTCCCTCACCCCCCACACCACCGCTATCCTCGTCCATAGCCTTGTCACCTCCCGCCTTGACTATTGTAATTCACTCCTCTTCGGCCTCCCTCAAAAGTCCCTCCATAAACTTCAGCTGGTTCAGAACTCTGCTGCCCGGATCATCACCAAAACCCCCTCTTCCCACCACATCACCCCCGTCCTTCAGCAACTCCACTGGCTCCCGGTTAATCAAAGAATCACTTACAAAATCCTTCTGTACACCTACAAGTCTATCCATAACCTCGCCCCTCCTTACCTCTCTGACCTCCTGCACGTTGTCACCCCATCCCGTGCCCTCAGATCTTCCTCCTCCCTCCATCTCACTGTACCCGCTGCCCGCCTTAGCTCTATGGGGAGCAGAGCTTTCAGCCGCTCTGCTCCCCAACTCTGGAACTCACTGCCACCTGACCTCCGTAACTCTGCCACCCTGCCCATCTTCATATCTAAACTCAAAACTCATCTGTTCAGACTTGCTTACTCTCTCTAAACTGCTTCACACGGTCCCCCCTCCCTTTTTATTGTTTGTTGTCTTTTATCATGTATTTTATATCTTTGTTTTTATATTTTCTGTACAGTGACCTTGGGTGTCCTGAAAGGCGCTTTCAAATAAAATGTATTATTATTATTATTATTATTATTGTCTACTAATAATGGGAAGAAGAAGTCTGTAGCCTACTCATCGCTGCCTACTCTTCACAGGTTTGCCCGTGTTTGAAAATACCCACATACATGCATGAATTCGGTGGAAAAGGGGTATTAGTAAAAAAAAAAAAAACAGCCAATTTTTGTAACACTATCCTGGCAGGACTAACAGTGATGTCTTGGTAAAAAATCAACTGCTGTTTGTGCCTAAATAGCTGCTGGAAACGCAGTGATCGCTTTCTAGAACAAAACAGGTTTTGTTGCTTTTTGGTCTCGAACACTGGTCTATAGCTCAGCAGGCGTGTCACCAAGGTGTCCTGCTATCCACCATCCCCTCCACCTCCTGATGATACTACGCCACTTTAGAAACTTTCATATGATACAAATGAAATGTACTAATGTAACATAATCGTGGTTTGCACAAATGAACAATGCCAATATTTTCTTGTGGTGACTGGGCTGGGAAAAATATCAAAGTGTGACCTATGGATTTTTGCTTACTTACCTGAGTTACTTATTTATATCATGTTACACAAATAGTGATGCTTAAATAACCATTGAGATTGTCAGTTAAGTAATTTAACAGAAATTAAAGATTTTAAAATCATATTTCAAATGATCAGTTTTAGAAGATACATTTTTTAATAACGCCAAAGTTAATTCTTGACCTTGTGAATGGTAGTTTGACAAAACACTCACAGCTCACAGTCCATTTAATATATTTTCTGTCTGTGGACTTTTAAATGCCCATCATGGTCTTCATCAATAGATTTTTTGATGAAGACCATGAGATGTGGTTTAATATAGATTATTATTTAAATTGAATAATTTGGGGTAATTGACTGTTGTTCAGACCACTTAAGCACTTATGATAGGCATTTTTGACTAGCATTTTTGATTTGATTTTTAAGCTCAGGTCCTAAACAGTTCCATGTAGATCTGGAAAGACTCAGCAAAGAACCTCAAAGATGATCTGAGTACAGAGACCTCTGGGGATCCCCAGCATCAGCCAGTGTAATGATGAACGGAGGATTCTGTCGTTTTTGTCCATGTGCAGACTTGAATGTCCTCCCCTCTAGTTTTCCCTCGTCCACTCCATGTAGGTCCTTGAACCCTCTCAGGTAAAGACTGTTGTTAATGACCTGCAGGTAAAAGCTGTGAGTGGCCAGGGCAAAGCCAAAGAGGGAAAGAGATCAGTACAAAGCGGTGGAGACGCCCCTGTGTCCAAGAAAGTCAAGACAGAGCTCCCCTAACCCCCCACCCTGTCCAGAAGACAAGCTGACAAAGTACAGTCCATCATTCTTTCTTCTGTTCACTACTGCTTCTGTTGGCATGGCACTGTCCAGACCTTTACTTCATGCTTCACACGTGGATCAGGCAGTCTAAGTGCGGGAGTATTAGTCAACACAGAAAATCTCTTTTTAAGTTATTTAAAATGCTCTTAATGGTTTTAAAATAATCAGTATGATGTTATCTATTTGTTTCTAACCAGCAGGCTTGGGCGATAAAAGGACATTATTGGCTCAGTTTGATTGCCTTGATCTTCCTGGTGACACTGTTTGCAACAAAATATGAGATTAACTAATGTGTCCCTTGTTTAGCCACTCTGCTAATGGATGTAGGGTGGTGTAGCTCACTAGCCACCTAGCTCGATGAAATGTTGTGCAGCTGTATGTGGCTGCTTAAAATGGAGCTCTGATATGTTGTGTTGCCCTGTGGATACAGGAAACTGATAGATCCAAACATCTTTATCTTTAAAACTCCTCCACAATTTTTCATTAGTTCATAGCATACTAGCCAAATTTTTAAGATGTTGCCTATTTAAAAAAAAAATCACAGTCTTATGATATGAATATTCACTTATTCACTGCACATTACAACTGTATACACATAGTTAACATTTAAATGAAGGCTAGATGAAAAAAAGCTATGCTGCTGAAGCACAGGTTATTCTGTGACTATGTCTACACTGTCACTTTTTCAAAAAACTAGGCCTACTTTACAGCGAAGAACTAACACCTTAATTTGTTTAAATTAATGCTAACATTAGCATTAGCAAAATCATTATCCAAACACACCAAATTGCATTGACATCTATAGGATCAGTTTTCTAGCCCCCAAAAAAGGGCGTGGCCCTTACATTTTATGAAGACCCCCATATGTGCCGGTCTGTCTGTTGGCATATGCAGCTAATTGGTGGTAGGAATATTTAACGAGAGGGTAAAGTTAGGAAGTGCGAGCAGTTTGCTGAGCCGCAAATACTCTGTAAGTGTGTCGATATTGTATTACTGTATCGCAGTGTAGGCCTACACTATCTAAACTTACTTAAATAACGTCATGGAAATGGGGTAAAATATTATGGAAAAGTTTTTTAAAAAATTCATTGGTAAAATGTGTGGGAACCCTGGAAGAAAATAGCCTGGCACAGGAACAGGATATGCAGTGTGTCAGATGGACAGTGCACAGCTTTGAGGTTAGACACTGACTGATAGTGACAAACTGAAATATGTGATTTATTTTAATGTGTGAACTGTTGATTGAATCATGACAAAGAAGACAGCCCAGTGATACTAGAGGTATTAAGTCTCCTCGATATTTTGGGGCATAAATGATCCCGACTGACTGACAATACTGATAGCTGTAAAAATTAAAGTATCGCCCAAGCCTATTGCTCGTAAGCAGAAGCATGTTGCCACTAACTGTCACTAACATTTCATCACACTGGCCCTGCTAACATAATCAGTTTATTCTCACTGACTACACAGAGAGGTCAGCTAAACTTCAATATAGACTCCTTTTGCCTATCTGTTATGGCACATATCTGAATTGCATATTACTCAAACAGCAATAAGTAATGAATATGATGGTGACTGCTAAAACTGGTGTCACTTTTCTACTGTCGTTCACTGACACTTGGTTGTCACATGTTTACAGCACACATCAGCCGGTGAGGAGGGGATTGATGTGACCTTTGACCCCACTGGCATGGACAACAGCTGTCCCCCACATCCCAAACAGAAACTGATTAAAGAACAGAGGAACCTGTCCAGGAAACAAGACCTGAAGCCAGTCAGCCAGACAGACAAACAGACAGAGCAAGCAGAAAAACTGCAGACAGACAGACATGGAGAGGAAGAGCAGGATAAAAGGAGGGCCTGCATGCCTCAACATGAAATTGAGGTTGATGTTGAAATAAACATTATAGAAAACAGTGATGGTCAGAAAACACCATCGCATCCAGCTAAACTTTGTTCTAAACGTAAATCCACCACTCCTCAGAGAGTGAGGAGGAAACCCCGTGCTGGTGCAGCGGAAGCAGCAGTTTCCTCCCCATCCCCAGGTGGTGACACAGCCACCAACACTGTGCCTGGCTCTCCATCACACTCCTCCATCATCTCTGAGACTGCAGCCGAGGAGCTCTGTGACCTGAGGAACTACTACAGCAAACAGCTGAGGAGAATAAACTACATTTCCCATGAATACCTGGGGCAGCCCTCAGAATCAGGAGTACTGGCATGTATCAGGGAGCCTCTTAGGAGCCTCCGCCTGCCCCGCAGGGTTACCATCGCCCAGACGGCTCGCAGCCTGTGGACACGAGTCAGTGGCAGGAGGAAGCTGGTCCATCGGTGACACCATAGTTTGGAGTGCAGTCAGCTGCAGTTAGAATTAATGTTCATTATCAAGAAATATTTGGTGCTGCTGTTGTACTGTAATCACAAAGGTTTTATCTGCTGCCCCAGTTAAAGAAGCCACTATTAATGGGATTTAAAATGCCAGACTTTGGAGTTACCCGGTGGTTGTATGTTATAAGATATTGAACCCCATCATGGTACATATCGGACCTGGGGACATAAAGATAAATGGACTGAAAGCAACACAAAACATGATTGTTTTATTTTTCTACAAACAAAAATATATGCTGTAAGAAAACTTTGAAAGATGCTGAAATAGGAAATCTTAAAAAAATTTAAATGCCCTTCATAGGTTTATAAACATTTTTCATAATTCATACCTCAGCTGCTGTTCTGCAAATTGATGAATGTGTTCATAAATATAATATGAAGTTCTGGACCCTGATTTAAACTTGCACTTCTCTTTTCTATAATCTTTGTTATTAGAAAATCTGTTCTTATTAACTGCATCCCAAAAAGGGAAAAGATCATGATTGCAGATTTAGATTGATTTGGGGCATTTAAAGGAACTTGGATGAATTCACATAGATGCAGTGGAGTTATGTTATGTTTTCCTGCTACTACATACGCATCTGAAAATCACATGTCCATTGAGGAAAATCCGAATCCCAAAGGAAGAAATGTATGTATTTTGTTTCATAGTGGCACCTGCTGCCTGCATACCATAAACCCTGCTGGTTCTCTGTAAACATTTCTTTTTAAAGTTTGTGTCAAACCAGCAGCTAATGCTACAGCCGGTAAAAAATGCAGTTCTCCTAATGGCCACATGAGGCTGGCTCCAAATGCGAGTCAATCCCATAGACCCCCATGTTAAAATGCCCAACTTTACAGCAGAAATAAACATGTTCACAGCCTGGTATAAAAAACAATTTTGGTCTCCATAGCTAATATCTACAATTTCAAGACATCTGTATGAAGGGTGAATTTTCATATAACTCACCTGTTTTCAATCTTATGGATTAAAGTTATGCATAATCAAGGAGGTGACAGGTGGATGTAGTCCATTGTCAAGTTGCTACCACTGTGACAACCTTGTAGCTGTCCCTATTTCATTGTGTTTTCAGTTTATAAAAGCTAATTGTAACACGACTAAAAAAAGTCTTGCCCAGTGTTAGGTTGTATTAACAGACCTTTAAAACCATTAAAACAAAATGTACTTACTGGAAATTGAATAAATTATCACTGTTAACCATAACCATAAATGCACTGTAGTTACTAAGCTAGCAGCTAATGTTAAGGTTAGCTTCACCCTCTTATTTAAATATGGTCACATCTGGCTCCCAAAAAACAAACCCAATATGACGATGGCCAAAATGCCAAAGTTAGTGTGTGTTAGTTTCATAATGCCATTCCTTAGATGTCTTTTGTGTGTTGACTACCTGTTGAACTGTCAGATCTCTATTTGGTAAACTCCTCTGTCCAAGTTTTGTTACATTTTTGTTATTATTTTTCATTTCTAACAGCAGTGTGAGTTACAGCTGAGGGAAATGTGACCTGTAAATAAAACTGCACAAGGTTTCTAAACTCTGCTTTTGCTGTCATCTTATTGGACTGTTCACATTGCCCATGGCCAGATCAAGCTTGTACAAATCAGTGCAACAATGCTTTATTTACTGTGACACCTCGGCTCCAGGGAGTAATGAAAAGCAACATCAGAGACAACATGACTGTATATGTTATTTTCAGATTTGTAAGGGTGTGTTAATCAACTTGTGAGGAATTAATCATGAGATTCAATATGGATTTCTTCTGTTGCATTGACGATTCACTGTTGGTAAAAAAAAAAAAAAAAAAAAAAAAAAAAAAGAGTAGAATTTAAAAATGAAAGAAACTTTCTGCCAACCCTTTTCTGATGTAGATTTCAGTAATTTGGTTCTTCCTGTTGCTTCAACAAGTTTTCCTGGTGGAATTCTTGTTCTTCTTCTTCTTCTTCTTCTTCTTCTTCTTCTTCTTCTTCTTCTTCTTCTTCTTCTTCTTCTTCTTTTTATTCTTCCTCCTTTTATTCTTCTCCTCTTCCTCCTTGTTCTCCTCCATTGGTCATCTTTTCTAAAAAATATCATATTTTGAGACTTTTTCTCAGATTTCTCAAACTCCTATTCTTGAGAAATTGTTAGAAACCCCCATTCATCTCAAAACCTTGGCAGGGGCAGGACAGCTCCCAGGGGTATTGTATTCTGGTTTGTATATTGACATAGCTAATTTCAGTCCCCCATTTATTGTCCATCCTAATAAGGTATTGACTGTGCTTGTGCTGAACTGTGTTCCTGTTATTCCTGCTTATTTTAGTGGCTGGTTCCTTCCCTTGATTCTCTGACCATGTGCCTGTCTTCATGCCTGATGTTTTGAACTGAATACGGACCATGACATCTATCTTCAAATACAGTAGTGGAAAAAGGCAACATTATAGACACTATTACATTTTATTCAGCGTAGCTCAGCCATTCATCATTTACTTGACTTGGATTACTTAATGGATGATAAAGTGCTGGTATCCTACTGCACACTTGATTTTTAAATATATGTATTCAGCTATAACCTGACAGGGACAAAATACAGATGACAGCAACTGAAGATGAAAACATGATTGTACAGATAAAACATAAATTCTTAGTCTGACCCAGTAATAATTATTTTGTTGATATGCAGTTGAAAAGGTGTCTAGGTTTTAAAATCTAACTCAACCGCATTTAATGATTAGTCTGTAATTTAATGTGTGTAAGATGAAATGCTGTCAAAAAATTAAGTCTAAAAGCAGCCTATATTGGGAAAAAAATCCATTTCTAACTATCTTTAGTCCAGTTTAGAATCAGTTTCAGCTGTACCACAATCATCAATACTCAGAAATATTGACATAATTTGCGACATAGTAACAACTTGTCTTTGGATGTCTGCCTGTTTTTTCCAAATATATAATTGAAATGATTGTAGAAGCAATTATTTCTTTTTTTCCCTCAACAGTTTACTTTGCTATTCTAAATAGATTAAAATGTGTCTTAGGCAACCCATGAGCACCACTGAAGATTGTGTAGCTTCTCTCTGGTTAAATAAACTGAGTGAACGGAAACCCTCAGTAAAACTGTTAATATATAAACAGACTGCACTATCATTACAGACTGCTGATTATAATATACCGTTGTGTTTTTATCAGTCACCGCCGTCCCTACAGTTGACCTACCCTGGCCCCGCCCCTTTAGCGTAATATCCTAGCAACGAGTTCCTCTGTTCTCCCCTCATTGGTCGTTTTTTGGATTTCCGCCATATTCAAAAACAGTCACGAGCCCCTGCTATTATAGTAAGATTTATTGTTATTATTGTGTTCAACCTATTCAGTGGCACGTAGTTAAAGAAAAACACGGTCTGTGACATTTCAAATGGGTGAAACCGGTGAAGTCCAAGCTCCCGTTTCAACATTAGAGAAACCTAAGAGACAACCGAGCTCTAACAACCTGAAGAGGAAGTGTTCAGCTGATGAAGAAGAGTTTTCCCTGGAGAACACCAGCAGGAGTCTGAGACGGTGAGTGGGTGTTTTCTGTTCGGACCTACAGTCTGTGGTTCTCGGAACGAAAGCCAACAAAGCTGAAGTCACAAAACTAAAACCCCGAAAAACCTTCACTTGCAAACCAGTCTTTGCTGTTAGCCCGTGACAGCATTCACAGTTAAACTAACTGTGGCTAGCATGCTCTAGCCTAGCACTTTGCTGCAGGTAGCAGTCGTGTTACGTTAACGTTACATGGCTTTAAACTTGGACACAGCCAAGTGAGCATGAGCAGTCATTTTAAACAAGCTACAAATCCTCTAAATACATACAATGCATTGTTTTGAACCGTGTAGATAGTTTCGTTGCGTCAAAACGCCACAAGATGTCAGCAAAGCGCCACAGTTGGCCCTCCTCAGGTACAGAAAAGTGTGGCCTGCCACTTGTACACTGTTGCATTCCATTGTGTTACATTTCCTGATGCTTACTCAGCTTTCATTTTTATGCTTCCCTTAGCAGTTTTAAATCTATGTTTAACGCCTTCAGCATTTCTAGTTAATGATGTACAGAAGTACTGTTTTTCCCCTTTTTTTATTGAGAACTTTATCAGTACACATTCTCTCTCAAGCCTTGTTCATCAAGTAGACTCTGCCACAGGTTGAAAAAATTATGGAAATAGAAATTTAATAATATAAAAAAACAGGGCTATCTCAAATTAACTTAAACATATTAAGTAGAAGAAGAAGCTATACTTTATTAATCCCAGAGGGAAAATTATTATTGTTTTCACTCTGTTGTCATACACACAGGTGCGAAATACACACACATGCATAAACAGGACCTGCATTAAACAGAGATATCAGAGTGAGTGGGCTGCCTTGGACAGGCGCCCCGAGCAGTTGGGGGTTTAGTGCCTTCGTCAAGGGTACCTCAGCAGTGCCCAGGAGGCAAAATGACGCCTCCCTAGCTACCGGTCGAAACTCCATGTTTGGAGCATATGAAGACTTGGTCTGTATGGGGATTTGAGCCAGCAACCCTCCGGTTCCTAAGCCAAGTCCCTGTGGAATGAGCTACTGTCACCCCAATAATGAAAACAAGAGCTTTCTTGTCCTAAAACAAGTTTCAGTGACTTACTCAAGAATCTTCATTACTGCTTTTTTATATTGTCACAGCAGGTTCGGCCTTGTGATTACCATTGCATTTTATTCAGATGCACTTATATGTTTTATCCCATCTACATCTAGCAATTTGTATTTTTTAGTCTTGACACAATTATATGGCAAAATGAGTTCAGATACACAAACCCATGGGAGCACTATGAAACACTGGCCCCCTGGGCACACATATGCAAAAGGCCTCACCACCTCTTCTACAGAGGAACAAGACTCACAGACTTTGTGGTGGTTTTGCATCTCATTGTCATCATTATGCATCTTTATGTGCTTATGTGTGTCTTTGTGAGGTCATTTTGTGTCTCTTTTGGTCCTTTTTGTCTCTTTGTAGTCATTTTGTGGCTCTCTGAGGTTTTGCTTGTTTTTGTAGTTATTTTGAGTCTCTTTGCAGTTCCTTTGCATCTGTTTGTGGTCTTTGTGTCTCTTAGCTGTTCGTTTGCATCCCTCTATGGTCTTTTTGCATCTGTTTGTGGTCATCTTGAGTCTCTCTCTGGTCAGTATGTATTAATTTGAGTGGAAATTTTGCAGGTGATGGCCAGGGGGGCCCTGACACGTTGGGCCCCTGGACCTATCCCTGGGAGGCCTGTTCTGTAACCCATCCATGCACAAACCACATAGTAAAGAAGTGGTTTATACAAAACAAAAAATGTGTCAAAGGACAGTTTCTCATTTTTCAAAGTCTGTCTAAAAACAACACTCACATGGCCATCCATATTTGCATATGAACGGTTATGTTGCTGTCACTCCGCTTTGCACGGTCCGATAAAGAGGGTATTTTGTACTAAAAAAACTTCACTTTGGAAGATATCCACTTGATGTGACTCATATTAGCCTCAGTTTAGCTTTAGGTTGCATATTTGCAAAGATCTGTGGATTTTTCCCCCCACTTACATTGGAATTGTGCTAGATGGGGATCATGTCACAAATAATACTGATGGAAGGAGTTATTACAGCGACCAGTAACTCAAAGTTTATCCCAGACTGAACTGGCATGATGTTTTTAATGTCAGTCCAGTAACGGGTGAGCTTTGAAAACTCCCAAGACAGTACCCATAATAGTAAACCTAGTATCAAGGGAGTGTTATTCCATCCCTATCTCTGTGTATAACTTTAGAGATCATGTTATTCTGCATCCAGGCAACTCAAGCACTCATCACAGTCTCTTTAGGTATTCTCTTTAATTCATTAGCCATAAATGTGACCAGTACTTAAAAAGTATCCCAGAGCTCATTTGTATCAATACAATGAGATTTATCTAAGTTCTCAGACTAACGTACAATAATAGTAATCAGTGTGTTTTGGTGTAATAAACCTCTGCGAGAGTTTATATTGGACTCTTTTCAAAGGCTTTCCATGTTGTGTGCCAAAGTGCCCCAGCCCTGCCCAGTGCCCAGCCAGCTCTGCAGACAAACATGGAAAACCATCACCCCGTATGTGACCTCCATAACAAAGTTTATGGAAAAAAAGCATAAGCGTTGAGTGAGAGAAAATAAGGCTCAATTTCCCAAGTGAGATTGACATTAAATATTAGACTGGCAGTGCAATTTTTTTTAATTTATTTATTTTGTGAGTTGCCAAGCACGTGCAGCATTTAACCAACATATCTAAACAAGGTTGATCCACAGCTTGTGAACTCAGCATTGTAAGTTCATTGTCCATGTAAAGCATTACGGTTTCAAACAGCACGTTGAGCGGGCGGATGCAGGGTTGTATAAATGTTCTGCAGGTGGGGTTTGTACCTCATAAAAATGGGAATGTTTTTCATTAAACTTCACTTAATGTAAGACTTCATACAACAATAGAATGTAAGCACGCTGCAGTGAGATGATGTTATCATTATGAGAATGCAGTGTGTGCTCTCTGTAGTATCAGTTAAGGAGAT